TAGGGTTGCCATCTCTAAAATTTGGAAACCAGGACAAGACGCATGAAAACCCCGGATTTTAGAGTCCAGAACCCGGACATGTCAACAGGTTTTTTTAAACATAATCAGTGTAACCAAAAACAGTTGAAAATGTCATAAATCACCCTTCTATTTATTTTCAGAGCTTAAAATTAAATTTAGTCATTCTTTATCATCATTTTCAATGTACCTAACAAAACAGAATCTTATTACAGTTTGTTACAAATTGTTTTAATAATCAGTTAGATTTTTTTGCGTGTGTCGCGGGCGGCCCAAGACTTTAAATTTTTAAACCAGGACTACAAATGAAGCCCCCCCCGGACGCTCCCCGGATGCCCTCTAAACTAGGACAAATCCGGGGAATCCCAGACGGATGGCAACCCTAGGTATATGTCACAATTGAAACAAACTGAAACGAATAGCATAAGTTATACAGAGTGTTTCTGATATAAGTAACAAACTTTGAATGGTGCCATTTAGATGCAATAAGGAATTGAATGGTGAGTACAGCAGCATGATTAAAAGACAAAAGGAAATTGTAAAAAAAAGCACAGGTTATAATCGAAAACGTAGATCTGTATAGTTGAGATGATCAAAATTGACAAAGTTCGTAATAAATTATCTGTGAGAATGGACGTATCTTTTTACTTGTTTCCACTTTGTATGTTTTGAGCACGACCTTGTTAAGTTAAGAAATGCTTCATGAGTAGTATAGACATGAAAAGGGATAACCGAATAATAACAAACGGTGCAGTAGTTAGAGTTTCCTTAGGTACGCAAAAAATCAGGGTTGGCTTTATAACTGCCTAATTGGAATTATATATTTAAACAAGCGTCTTTGCTTTCCTAAATTCCTGAGAATGTTGAAGTCCGGTTTGGCATCATACTCAAATATTGCTTATCTGCATCTCTTTCTTGTCACACATCATTTGGTGTAATGTTATTCCTTTTCCTTTATTAGTGTCCGCTGCAAGTTCTACCTGACATCTCTTTTCTATGTTTACGATATTCTCTACAACGTCTGTAGTGAGTAGAAGTAGGCGTTCTGTCAGCAACCGTTGTTACTAAGTTGAAAAAAGAAATGTAAATGCGAGAGTTTTATTGCGGACTACGTCAATTTTGAGCATCCCATTTGTCCTTTTGCGGAGAGTTGAGATAACGACTCAGGAGCTACAACGGTTCAGAACGTTAACTTTCTTACACAGCACACACACGCACGCACCCACGCACCCCCACACACACGCACAGAACGCGCACGCACCCACGCCCCCCCACACACCCAACTCCCCCCCGTCCAATACCATTCTGGAAGACAGGTATCGAAACGCCTACCAAAATTATTTCTAAATTCAGCAATAAAGTTCGGCAGTCACACCAATACTGATTATCATTATTTCGTTAAAAACATTTGCCCGTGAACAATTGAGTTCTCAAGTACTTTCCTGTCGAAACCACTGACTGAAATCCACTAGTAGCTAAAAATCAGTTTCCTGCTACGTATGTATTTGCGCTAAATGCTAAAGATGCAGCAACTGCTTCTTCAACATTTATCACAGTATCAAATGAGAGGAGTCAACGTTGCGTGCCATTTTGGGAGTTGTCTTATATGAAAAGCAATGGTTTCGTCTTCTTACCGGTGGTATGCTTCGGGTGCCGACGCTCACGACCCGCAAATGTAGGGGGTGTATCTTGCGATTACTTTATAGTTTGATATAACACGGACACACTGACATACCATCATTTGACTAAATCCATCAATTATTAAAAGAACAAACAACTAACTAAATGAAGTCAGCTGTAACATAAACACTGATGCTGCTAGTTACCATTGAATACGGCGTTGGATTGTCGCATTTCTCTCCAGGGCCGGAATTAGATTTGCCTGTACTTTCAACTACGTTTCTCTCGAAAATGGTGAAGTTTCAAACATGTAAATATTTACTGAACTGTCATATTTTATAGTGCCCTTTCACCTCCTGCAAGGTTGCTATTTATTTTAGAAACATCCTAGACATATAAGTTAAAAGTTGACTATAGAATTTATTTTACACCTAAGCAAAAATAAAAGTTTCCAAAAAGGAATAACTTTTTTGAATTATCTATGCATAAAGCGTATACAAAATATAAGTACACGCAATATGGAGTCTCTTATTTAAATAATCGAACTCTGTCTTGCTTTCTTTTTACGTATAAATCTAACACCTCATTGGATAGATAACTGCAAAGTTCTTCTGGACCTTCGATGTTAATTATCATACATGTATTTAGTGTCTCTTGTCCCATTTGATTGCGAAGCTTCGAACTAATGTAGTTCATCGCATAAAACAAAATCGTTTCGCACTAGTAGTAGAAGTATGTAAGAAATATGCCTGAAATTCTTTTGTTGCGCAATATTTAAACATATTTAAAAAAAAACGAAAATCAACCCAGACTGCCTAGATATTATTAATATTGAGATAAGAACGCAACTTACTCATACCATTATTGGCCAAGGTGTCAAATTTATTCAACATTTTAAAGACACTAATTTATCACTATAAAGACTTTTTGAAGTGAAACTTCTTTACGCACGGTAGGGTAAGTTCGTTTCATGCGAGTTGCTATGTAACGAAATCATGCAACGAATGCCCCCCCCCCGGCTCTACTCGGCCACGTAGTCGAGTTCGTAGTGGGGATCGCTTGAGCCGTGAGCGCGCTGCAATGCAATCTACCACAAATCTTTCAACCAACTTATTCATCGTTGTGGTTTTTGGTTCCTTCACTGCAATTCTTCGTAAAATAGAAGCTGTTTCAATTGGCTTTTTGTAGTTTTGATATAAAGTACAATTTTTGTTGAATTCAGCTGACTTAAAAAGTACTAAACATTTGAGATATAATAAAATATCTTCATTATCCGTGTATCTACCTACTCTATTAATTTTCTATTTGATTAATTTTCGATGGACTTCGAACCGGTACTATTCCTATTAGGAAGGTAAATAGATAATTAATTAATGTGAACTCATAATAATACTTGTTTTTGTATGTGCGTAAATAAATAATAAATAGAAAGGTCACAAAAATAATCGTTTACATTATGAGACAGTATACCTTCTCGAAGAATTGTAGGCCTGTTCTGAAAATATTTTAGGCACCTTGCTGTAACGATTACAATTGTGTAACAAGGTCATTTAATTCGATTTCAGGAATAATAAATTTGTAAACAAACGAAATAAATTTAAAAGCCTAAACATTTTAGCAACACAATACTAGGTTTATGAAAACTAACTTACAATTAGAATTAAATATAAATAAGCCTGAGATTTACGCTATTGACATATTGATATTGTTTTTTGTTATCTAAAACTTTTCGTCGTAATGTTTAGCATTTTAATAATTACTTTTTTTATCTGTTTTGATTTATTTTATATTATAATAAGTTAAATAATACTTTCGGAACTGAGTTACGGCTGCAAGGAGCTAACCAGCAAAAATCAACGTTACCAGATAAGTTTCTTTTTATTCCGATTACTTTATAGTTTGATATAACACGGACACACTGACATACCATCATTTGACTAAATCCATCAATTATTAAAAGAACAAACAACTAACTAAATGAAGTCAGCTGTAACATAAACACTGATGCTGCTAGTTACCATTGAATACGGCGTTGGATTGTCGCATTTCTCTCCAGGGCCGGAATTAGATTTGCCTGTACTTTCAACTACGTTTCTCTCGAAAATGGTGAAGTTTCAAACATGTAAATATTTACTGAACTGTCATATTTTATAGTGCCCTTTCACCTCCTGCAAGGTTGCTATTTGTTTTAGAAACATCCTAGACATATAAGTTAAAAGTTGACTATAGAATTTATTTTACACCTAAGCAAAAATAAAAGTTTCCAAAAAGGAATAACTTTTTTGAATTATCTATGCATAAAGCGTATACAAAATATAAGTACACGCAATATGGAGTCTCTTATTTAAATAATCGAACTCTGTCTTGCTTTCTTTTTACGTATAAATCTAACACCTCATTGGATAGATAACTGCAAAGTTCTTCTGGACCTTCGATGTTAATTATCATACATGTATTTAGTGTCTCTTGTCCCATTTGATTGCGAAGCTTCGAACTAATGTAGTTCATCGCATAAAACAAAATCGTTTCGCACTAGTAGTAGAAGTATGTAAGAAATATGCCTGAAATTCTTTTGTTGCGCAATATTTAAACATATTTAAAAAAAAACGAAAATCAACCCAGACTGCCTAGATATTATTAATATTGAGATAAGAACGCAACTTACTCATACCATTATTGGCCAAGGTGTCAAATTTATTCAACATTTTAAAGACACTAATTTATCACTATAAAGACTTTTTGAAGTGAAACTTCTTTACGCACGGTAGGGTAAGTTCGTTTCATGCGAGTTGCTATGTAACGAAATCATGCAACGAATGCCCCCCCCCCGGCTCTACTCGGCCACGTAGTCGAGTTCGTAGTGGGGATCGCTTGAGCCGTGAGCGCGCTGCAATGCAATCTACCACAAATCTTTCAACCAACTTATTCATCGTTGTGGTTTTTGGTTCCTTCACTGCAATTCTTCGTAAAATAGAAGCTGTTTCAATTGGCTTTTTGTAGTTTTGATATAAAGTACAATTTTTGTTGAATTCAGCTGACTTAAAAAGTACTAAACATTTGAGATATAATAAAATATCTTCATTATCCGTGTATCTACCTACTCTATTAATTTTCTATTTGATTAATTTTCGATGGACTTCGAACCGGTACTATTCCTATTAGGAAGGTAAATAGATAATTAATTAATGTGAACTCATAATAATACTTGTTTTTGTATGTGCGTAAATAAATAATAAATAGAAAGGTCACAAAAATAATCGTTTACATTATGAGACAATATAGGTACCTTCTCGAAGAATTGTAGGCCTGTTCTGAAAATATTTTAGGCACCTTGTTGTAACGATTAAAATTGTGTAACAAGGTCATTTAATTCGATTTCAGGAATGATAAATTTGTAAACAAACGGAATTAATTCAAAAGCCTAAACATTTTAGCAACACAATACTAGGCTTTCGAAAATTAACTTACAATTAGAATTAAATATAAATAAGCCTGAGATTTACGGTATTGACATAATTGATATTGTTTTTTTTTATCTAAAATTTTTCGTCGTAATGTTTAGTATTTTAATAATTTTATCTGTTTTGGTTTATTTTATATTACAATAAGTTAAATAATACTTTTAGAACTGAGTTACGGCTGCAAGGAGCTAACCAGCAAAAATCAACGTTTCTAAATTTCTTATTATTCCCTAGTTTTTTTATCGAAATTTCTTTATATTTCCCCTGAAATTCACATGTCGAAAGAAGGATGTTTAAAGAAACAACACAAAAAGAATTCTATTAACGAAAAGAAGGAACTCACGGCGTAGCTGTTCCTATGAAGTCAAACAGAACAAAAAGTTCAAATACCTAGTAGTGGTTAATATTCTGTTGAAGCTGCCAAACGTGGAGCAGGTAGAGTTGACATGTGTTTTGTCGGAATTGTGTACGGCGTGCTGATGAGACCCAATCAGGTCAAAATCGCGATACAACGGTATACTGACCACTATTTGAACTTATTGAAACTTAGTACAGCATTTATCATCGTATACCGGTTGATGCTGGCGAAATCGTTCGCATGATTCACTGTAATCTTATGAATAAATTTTTGCAGACATTCCACTTTTGTAACGATTTAGTATCGCTTTAAGAAGGTCAAAATTTAAAGATTTAACGAAATTAAAGTCAAAAATAGATGCTCCGTTGTTTATATTCACAACTGATCATCAAATAAGCATGAAGACACGGTTAAAATCAAATTAAAGTTCACCAGTAAGTTACTTGTTTGATTCCTTACAATTTTGGTAAAAATTATTTTGAAAACACGAACCTGCCGAATGCTCCAGGCGGCTTCGGTATTTATAGGAGACGTTTTAATTATATGTCTATAAGCTAATGAAATTTTATTGAAAGTACAAATATTACTGAACTGAACAGTTGCTGTTTTTAATATGCCTAAGGTATACAAAATATGCAGAATGTTCCATCTAAGGCGATTTCGTTCATAACTCTGTTATTGTACATTTAATTTAAAAGATATTTTCATAAAAATCGTCTGGAATCATATAATGTGTATGCAGAGAATATTTTCAGTCATAAAAGGTGCTCCAGTACTTCTGGACGCTATCTAAGTTCGTTGTTTTTTTGGTTTCTTTGTTTAATTTTAGGTCTACTCGGTTAATAGTTCCCTACACTTATCTCTAGTGGTTCTTCAGATATTCAACTGTGTTTTTTAGAATAATAACATGATTTCAGCTCAATGCAAAAGCATTTAAACTATAAAAACTAAAATCCCTTGGTTTTAGCATGAATTACCATATGTTTTTTTTTTTCANCAGAAAGAGAAAATAAGCCAGAAAAAGAAAATAGGCCAGAAAGAGAAAATAGGCCAGAAAGAGAAAATAGGCCAGAAAAAGAAAATAGACCAGAAAGAGAAAATAGGCCAGAAAGAGAAAGGAGGCCAAAAAAAGAAAAAGATGAAATGTTGATGTCAGCTGCTCACAGAATAGTGTCAACTATTAATAATGCTTCAACTTTACTTTCAATTGTTGTGAATCCTCCTGCATCATTTATATTTAATGAAATAAATGAAACTGCTAACGATAACATAGACAAAAATGGGGATAGTACTGACGTAGGAAAAGGTACAATAATGGAAAGGGGTGCTCAAATGTTGGCGTCTGCTGTTAAAAACGCATCTACAATTATTTCCTCCTTTCCTGATCTTCCTAATCAAAACAAAGATGATTTATCCAAGAATGCACTGGTTCAGGAAGACCCACATATTTCTTATATACAACACTACTCTGATCGCCGTAGATCCGTGAAACATCAAACTGCAATTAATAATATCGACAGTTCCAGTAAAGCAGAATCAAAACCCCAGAAGGATCTACAACTTGACAAGAGCAGAAATGTGAATCTGACGGAATGTAGTCAACCACAACAAACCAAATCAACAAATTCAAATTCTCGTGTACCACACCCTAACGAAGGTTTTCTGCAATATATATTACGTAGATTAGGTTATTACGACTATCTTATGAGCTACGTACCAGTCGTACCAGAAGCAAGAAGAGAAATAATTAAGGCAAATGCAACACAAAACCAGTAATATACAAAGTAGTATTTCGTTTTGTTCTGTTGTGACGGTCTGTAGAAATTATTGCAGTTAACAAAATAGAACCAATTTTTTTGTAGAGTATTATATAACAAGAAATATATTGTAGATATTGTATCTACGAAATTATGTTTATCTGCCCAAAATTTAAAGTTACAAGGCAATAAATTTCTATTTGTTAACTTTAATATACCAATTAGCTTTATCTCGTAAACATATCACTCATTTTTATTTCTCAATCGACTGTAAAAGTGAAATGGAATTAAGTAGGTTTTGTACACCTTCATTATGTTTGACATTTCTATTATGAAAAACGCATAATTCTCTTAATTATTAACTTAGTTGCTCGTTTGTGGCAATCGAAACGAAATTGTGTAATAAATATTGCTGGTTAGTTTTACCAAATATCCTTATTAATTTGCCAGATAGGTAGATACATATGTGTATAGGTTGGTGAGCTTTCTTTTTTGTTTAATTAAATGCTTTATTTATTTCATTAGGTAATGATTTTTTAGTTCTTTATTCCTATACCATAATTTTATTAAATCACATACAGTTTCTGTAACACAGCATAAAATTGCCCTAGAAGACGACTATTGATGCCAATTTTGAACTAGTACTTAAAAGATGCCGATACGTTGAAAAATAACACCGAATCCTTTTCTGTTTACTCTGTTACATCTTTCATAAAAGCTGCCTCGGTACGTACCAACTGTACATACTCAAGAGATGCCGATACATTAAGGGGATTCAGTAGTACACGCGCCGTAGAGTAAAAACATGCTTATCGGTTCTAATTATCATGAGTTTAATATTTGGAACAGGGGTTTGAAATTTTGTAGTAAGATAGATAAAGCTTTGCTTTAAAGCTTGTCGAAGGCCATTTTTAATTTTTTTAATTTCTACTGAGAATACGTGTCCTACAAAAAGCATCAACTTTAAGCACTTGTAAAAGCTTTTAATGACGATATTATTGAAAAAAAGAACGTATCGAGTTAGTGTGAATCTTTGTCTGTTACCATACACAAAATCAGATATTTATCTTGCAGCGTTAAATCACAATATTTAGAATAGAAACCCATGTTTTCGGAAAAATTCACGCTAGGTACGAGCGGTCGATTGCGATCAATCCCCTTAATAAACGACAGTGAATCCTTTTCTGTTTACCGATTGCATCCGCGAATAATGAAATTTTTAACCGCGAATACAAGAACTGGGTTGCAATTTTTTAACCGGCGAATAAAGAAACCGTGAATAAGGAAGTTTTACTGTAGGAACCTAAAAATAATATCAGTCTTTAGTTCTGTGTTCACTGAACTCTCGCAGGTCTACCTAGATAATTCCTAATTTCAATAAAACAACAGGAAAACGTATATCGTAACTTAATAGGATGTGCTAAAACTGCTAGAAAAATTAAAATTAATCGAGAACAGGATTTTCAGACATCCCCGAAAACGAATATTTCCGACAAAAACTGATAATTTTTTGTAACTGTGAATCCAATGCAGCGAGCTTTGANTGAGTTGCGGCTGCAAGGAGCCAACCAGCAAAAATCAACGTTACCAGATAAGTTTCTTTTTATTCCCTAGTTTTTTTATCGAAATTTCTTTATATTTCCCCCGAAATTTACGTTTCGTAAGAAGGATGTTTAACGAAACAACACAAAAAGAATTCATTTAAGGAAAAAAAAAAGGAACTCACGGCGTAGCTGCTCTTATGAAGCCAAACAGAACAAAAAGTACAAATACCTAGTAGTGGTTAATATTCTGTTGAAGCTGCCGAACGTGGAGCAGGTAGAGTTGGCCTGTGTTCAATCGGAATTGTCTACGGCGTACTGATGAGACCCAATCCGGTCAAATCGGGATACAACGGTATACTGACCACTATTTGAACTTATTGAAACTCTTTAGTATATCATTTATCATTGTATACCAGCTGATGCTGGCGAAATCGTTCGCGTGATTCACTGTAATTTTATGAATACATTTTTGCAGACTTTCCACTTTTGTAACGGTTTAGTATCGCTTTAAGAAGGTCAAAATTTAAAGCATTTTACAAAATATAAATACACTCAATATAGGGTCTCTTATTTTAATAATCGAATTCTGTCTTATTTTCTTTTTACGTATAAATCTAACACCTCATCGGATAGATAACTGCAAAGTTCTTCTGGACCTTCGATGTTAATTTTCATACATGTATTTAGTGTCTCTTGTCCCATTTGATTGCGAAGTTCATCGCATAAAATAAAATCGTTTCTCACTAGTAGTAGATTGAAGTATGTAAGAAATATGCCTGAAATTGTTTTGTTGCGCAATGTTTAAACTTATTAAAAAAAAAAAAAACGAAAATCAACCCAGACTGCCTCGATGTTATTAATATTGTAATAAAAACGTAACTTGCTCATACCATTAGTGGTCAAGGTGTCAAATTTATTAAACATATTAAAGACATTATAAAGACTTTTTGAAGTGAAACTCTTTTACGCACGGTAGGGTAAGTTCGTATCATGCGAGTTGCTATGTAACGAATTCATGCAACGAATGTCCCTCCGGCTCTACTCGGCCACGTAGTCGAGTTCGTAGTGGGGATCGCTTGAGTCGTGAGCGCGCTTCAATCCAACGTTCATTATAGGCAACTCCGGCATGTATAGTGTAAAATTCAAATTCATAGTGTACAAATAATACCATTAATCGAATTCCTAATTATGTTTGTGTTTTTGACGAAGTTTCACTTCAGTAGCGTGTTGTATAATTACACGTTGTATTTTTTTATCTAATCTACCACAAATCTTTCAACCAACTTATTCATCGTTGTGGTTTTTGGTTCCTTCACTGCAATTCTTCGTAAAATAGAAGCTGTTTCGGTAAAGGTCTAGATGATGGCCCCCACCTCCTTCGGGGGTGGGGATGGGGGATCGAAACTGTACCATAAAAAGTTCGTGGCTGTCTCACCCCCATAAAAAGTTATGGGGGCTCAAAGTTAAAAAATATGCCAATTTTAATACATTTCTAGGCATGTAAATATTTATATAGTCATTCTTAGACAATATTCAAAGGTAAAACTAATGGAAAAATACATAAAAATATTGAGAAAGTTATATAAAACATTATTTAAATATCTTTATCAATAGGGTAGGTTAGGTTAGGTTATCGGGTTTTGTTCAAGTGACCACNTATATTAGGACAACGACAAATTGTTTTCATTTGATGGGTATCTAAAGCCTTTTATTGCCGAAAGTGTCGGTAAAAATGAAATCGACTGTTGTTATTGTTATCGGTGTTGTTACAACCGCAATTGTCACAATTGAAGCAGGTAAGCCAGTCTCACATTCATCAACATTGACCTACATAGTCAAGAAGCATGAACAGAAAACTATTTGTTACATAGTATAAGTAGACGCATCGTTAACAAATTTTTTTGGTTCAATATTTATTATATCCAATGAAGTATTATTTATGTTGAATATAGTGTAAAATCAAAAATTAAAATATAAAAAGTTTGTTAAGATAAACTTTGTGTATACATTGTCAAGAATGAAAATAAAAATTTGTTGATTTGTTTCGGAAGAAGTAATAGGGATATAAAGTCGCCTTCAATAAAAACAAGTCACTTCTATGCTCGCGAACGGTTAATTAAGAAATTCCAAAAAAAAATGTTAAAGGTGTATGTTTGGAGCACGGCGTTGTACGGGTGCGAAACATGGACAGGGGGCGCGGCGGAAAAGAAAAGGTTAGAAGCTTTCGAAATGTCGTGTTATAGGCGAATGATGAGGATACCGTGGATAGAGAAGGTTAGAAATGAAGAGGTATTAGAAAGAATAGGAGAATAAGGAATTTAATAAGAAATAGGCGAGATAAGTTGGTAGGACACCTTCTCAGGCATGAAGGTCTAGTTAGAGACATATTAGAGGTAGACCTAGATTAGATTACTGTTCGCAAATAATTAAGGATATGGGTTGTTCTAGTTTTAGGGAAATGCGAATATTAGCTCAGAATAAGGAAGGGTGGAGGTGCGTATCCAATCAGTCTTAGGACTGACGACTTTATGATGATGATGTCCATGTTTCGGTACACTGCCGTATTGTTAATTTTGCTCCAGTTATTCAGTGCATTAATACAGTCATAAAAACATTTAGGTAGGTAAGCCTTACTGACCTTTTAACGTAATTGTATGACAAGGTTAAGAAAATCTATAAAAAGGAAGAAAAAAATATGCATTATTATATCACGTTAAGATAGTAAAAGTTCCCCCTTCCCCCCAAATATTTTATTAAAACTAGCAATCCTTTTGTTCCTTTCCGGAAAGTAATTTAATCTAGACAATGCGAATGAATAAGACTGCAGCCTTATTCTGCATTAAGACAAATTGTCATTAACGGGAGTGAATTTTGTTTTGCCCAAAAGGATTTACAGTTCCCACAAAATTTTCATGTACCTACGTGGCTTGATACAAATCAGAAAACTGCTCGTTAACTATTTAATATGTTTTTTTCCATGAATTACAAATAAATATATAATACTTATTAACATATGAGTACCTGTTATCATTTGACCTTTAAATGTGAGCGATAATAAATTGTTAATTCCAATATTGTTATAATTTACTAAATTCAATTAAACATAAAACATAGATAGGAAGATTTTTGAGTTTAGCTGTTATTTAAGTTTATAATACAAAGAATGTATGTCGTTTTTTTAATGTCTTAAAATGTGGTTACGTTTTTAGTTGATATTAAAAAGAGTTGTTTTTGTTTTATTATAACAACAATGAAAGTGGGTAGAAATTTGTTGTTTGTGTGTTAATTTATGTAAGTATAACTTGTTTTTAATTGAATAAACGGTTGTATATAATACAGGGCGTTCTGTTTAAAATGAACAATTTATGATTGTTTGAAGCTTTTAAAATAGAACACTTTATTTTAAATATCATGTATTGCTTTCAAGAAACTAATAAATGACTAACAAATAACACACTTCCCTTATATCTAAATGTTAAAAGCAGTATTATGGTGGAAAATAAAAATGTTTAAGTAGCTTTATATATTTTTATGATATATTTTCAAAAAACACAGTCATTTGGTATCGTAAAGCACCTGCTACGAACGAAGTTTCTTGAGCTATTCGACAAATACCTTTCTGAAAACAGTGTAAGAAACTTACTCTTCTTATTAATGTTCCAGGATATAGCATAACGTTCGCATTTCACTTTATTCACAAACAATTTAAATTAAATAATTATAACAAAGTCACGTCCCTACACTGAGAAGTTTACTGCAAGGTCATCATCATCATAAAGTCGTCAATCCTAAGACTAGTTGAATACGCACCTCCACTCTTTCCTATCCTTAGCTAATCTTTGAATTTCCCTAAAACTAGAACATCCCACATCCTTAACTATTTGCGAACAGTAATCTAATCTAGGTCTACCTCTACCCCTCTTAACTGCTGTTTCTGCCTTTAATATGTCTCTGACTACATCTTCATGCCTGATAAGGTGTCCTATCAACCTATTTCGCCTATCTTTTATTGACTTCCATAGAGCCTTCCGTTCTCCCATTCTTTCTAATACCTTCATTTCTAACCTTCTCTATCCACTGTATCCTCATCATTCGCCTGTCACACCACATTTCGAACGCTTGTAACATTTTCTTTTCCGCCGTGCCCACCGTCCATGTTTCGTACAGCGCCGCGTTCCAAACATACACCTTTAACAATTTTTTTCCCAATTTCTAAATTAATTGTTCGCGAGCGTAGAAGTGACTTCTTTTTATTGAAGGTGACTCGACCCTACGCCATCCTCTACTTTATATCCCTGGTACTCCTGCAAGGTAGCTACTGAAAATTTGGTGTGATTACAGTACCTACATCCTGAATTTGAAGTTGTAAGAATGATGTCTTAATATTTTTCAGGACCATTGGACCATTTTTTAAATGGACTTCAACCACAAAATCATTTTCTGGAGCAAAAATTTAACAGGTCGCTGGAAGAGTTCCGACGAGTTTTGTCACACAATGATCCTTTTATAATTCCGAGACGAATGGTGTCAGGTAAACTGTAAGTTTCATAGAACTATACGTTCTTGTTCGGCGTTTTGTCGAAACTAGTAGACGTGCCTAGTGTAATTGGTTAACAGCGAAATTAATAAATAACTACCAGAAAGGCAGTAAGTTGTCATATACTCACTAATAACTACTCTTCATTTCAAGAAGTTAGAGGTATTCCCCTTCCCTTTATTAGGATGCGCCGTAGCATAATTCCAAATTCAATCATATTTCTCTGCGGTGCTAACGTGTACAGTATCATTTGCAAAATTATTTAAACTGCCTCGTTAAAATTTAAGAATATGCTTTATTTAAAAGCATATTTAGTCAAAAATAATAACAAGTGAATTAACTTAACGTTCTACACACTTATAGAACTTTTGCTTTCTTTTCTATTGTTAATTTGTATACATTTTTGTTTTAAGAAATTGCTAAACATTTTCGTCTAGTACTGTACAGTTCTAGCCGATCACCGCCCATCGAGATCTCTGCTTGTTCAAGATTGTTCGAACTATTTCTGTCTTGCTCACGCCTAGTGCGTATTCTTTTTATCTTCGCGCAGATTTCTTCAAGGTCACAATTCTAACAAATTGAAATAGACTGTACAATAGTTACTTTGTAGTAAACCTTCGCCCACAGCGACTTACGGCCTTTCTGTAATTATTTGCCTTTCATTATATACTTCATCAGTGACGTAGGTATGGAATTTCAATCATTCACGTTTTATTTATTTATTATCATTGCTATTATCACTGTGAAATTTCTCGAATCGGCTATGGCATTAAAACGGTCACCTACGATATACCAACGACCAGTTTTGAGTTTGCTAGAATATAACTTCATAACTGTCCGAAGACCAGTTAGACACATACCTCAATCCCTTTCTGTTCTGAGACAATCTTTCTATTCTGTCGTATTTCTCAGAAACTGGAAAATCCCGTACCCATCCCATACATATCTAACTACAGTATTCTGACCTAAGTCCCATGTCTGCTTCTAATATGACTCTAATTATAGCTCTCAGAAGGATCCCTACCATCCTATCTCTCTTTTTTTATTAACTTTCGCAATGTCCTCTTTTCTTCTATTTTATCAATATCTCCTCTTTCATAACCTTTTCTGTCCATGTTATTTTTGACATTCTTCTATAAAACCACATCTGGAATGCTCCTGACTTTCTCTTTTCTGTCACGCCCGCAATTCGTGGGACCAATACCAATACCAAGACTTGAACAAACCAAGATCAATATCAAGACTGAAAGAAAATAGTGTCGATAGTTGTGACAGAACTCGAAAACCTACCCTTCCTCCAACGCATAAATTGACCTTTTAGCAAACAAAGTAGTACAAAGTACTTGAAATAAGTAAAGAAAAAAAAATTATTTTGTTTCTGTATTCTTAACATGTGTTATCCAGACATATAAGCAAAGAACATTTATTCCGAGGACATTCTTGTATATCCCTTTTTCCAAACAGTGTTACAGTTTCTTTCTTTAGATAATTAGTGTTATAATCTAGTAAAGCAAACTGAAAATTGCAAATACTAAAAATTTTTTGTTCCAAGAAAAGAATATATTAATGTTGCTTCAAATAGTTTAATTCATAAATCCACCGGAAGTAATAATGTTTCGTTTAGTCTTTCGTATTTGGTCTGGGTCTTGCATATTCGCTCTTGGTTTTAGTCTTGATCTTATTCGTTCGGTCTTGGTCTGGTCTTGCTAGTATAAAGAGTCTTGATCTTAGATTCTCTCAAGGTCAAGACCAAGACTGCAACACGAAGACGAATTTTGCTCATCATTAATTTCCATTTCACACACCGTATAGAGCCAAGCATACAGGTTTAATAATCGTTTTCGAATTTCCAAAGTCAATGAGAAAAGAAACGATTTATGTCTTTTAGTATATCCTATGAACATTTCAATAATAAAGGATCTTTCAATACTGGTGCTCACAGTTATTAATTACGTACCTTTTGCTAAAATAACGTAGAATTTCTACTCTTCGAAAAATATATTTAGGAAAAGAAAAACGGAGGAGACAGTCACGAACAGATATTTATTGGTAAACAATATAAGTGAAAAATGTGCAAGAAATTAAGACACAAAAACTTGTATCAGGAAAAAGAACGGCGATATTTCCTCTAATGAGTCTCACATTTTAGTAAGGATGAAGTCACAAAAACTAAAATTTAAAATTTTAAAATTCCAATATTTTATTATTAAGCTATACGTATGTAGTTCATATTTTAATATTGTAATCAATTATAAGGTTATATATGTCAATATTAGCGAATTTGTCTCTCCTTCATATGTGAATATTCTTTTAGGCCGTCAAAGAAGAAAAATCACTCTAATACAAATTTGTTCTTCGAGACAGTCCATCTGAGATTACTTCAGAAATGAAGTAGTTTTTGAGTAGTATTTTAATGGGAGATTTTCGATTCTATGTCTAGCTCTTTTCCTGCAGGTGGCGTCAAAGTTAATCAATGTTTGACTAGTATGCCTAATTTTTGGTTGATTTTGATGAGTCGATTCCTACAAATTGTAAAATGCTTAATAAGAATATTAAAGAATTTTTCCAGTAGTACATGAAATAAGTTTGCATTTCACTTTATTCATTAACAATTTAAAGTAAATAATTATTACAAAGTCACGTCCCTACACTGAGAAGTTTTCTGCAAAGTCATCATCATCATAACGTCGTCAACCCTAAGACTGGTTGGACACGGTGTGCGTGTTCATATCCTGAGCTAATCTTCGCCTCTTCCTAAAACTAAAACATCCCACACCTTTAACTATTTACGAACAGTAATCTAATCTAGGTCTACCTCTACCCCTCTTAACTGCTATTTCAGCCTCTATTATGTCTCTGACTAGACCTTCATGCTTAGTAAGGTGTCCTACCAACCTATCTCGCCTATTTTTTATTGACTTCCATAGAGCCTTCCGTTCTCCCATTCTTTCTAATACCTCTTCATTTCTAACCTTCTCAATCCACTGTATCCTCATCATTCGCCTGTCACACCACATTTCGAATAAATAAGGAAATTGTGATTAAAGTGAACTTATTTGGTAAAAGCTTTGACAGCCAGAAAGTGTTCTGATTTATATTTTCTGATAAGAAATATTAAAATCAAATTAAAATAAATTGGGAACACAGAAAGTCTATCGACCAACCTTGACGCCCCTTGATGGAATCGAAAAACATCCCATTGAAACACTATTCAGGGACACTCCCAATACTCATTTCTAAAATAATATCAAATGTATTTTTAGCCGCTATTGAAAACTTTTACTATATTAAAGACAAATTGCCTTTAAGTACTTTATATCGCTTTCCTAGAATAACAAAGAAAGATACTGCATTATTTCAAAAACCGTTAAACCCTTTTTGTAATTGAATCAACAAAACAAAAGGCCTTGGACATATAATCCATGAATAGCAAGTATGTAAAGTGCTCGTAACCCCCTATTTATGCATTTTAGATTTGACTTCTCATTCGATTCCGTCGTCTACAGTGGTTTTTCCGACTTTGTACTTCAATATTTTAACATAGATGTGACGCAGGAATCAGCGACAGCGAGTCTCTACATCAAAAAACTCTGCCTTGAAGCTAACAATGTTCATTTCAAAATGATAACGTCGGCTTCAACTATAGAGATAAAAAGAGCTGAGTAAGTGATTTACATTACATTTACACTAAATTACATTCAAATTAATTGTTGCATAAGTGAATTACTTCTTCTATGGTCTAAAATTAGATAAAAAAGTCGAAGGTTGGCGTTTCAAAAAAAATTTTTTATTGTTACAATTGTTTCTTTAAGTGAGTGATACAACAGGTATAAAAAGTAGCAGTTATTACGCAATTGGAAGTAGAAATTGTATAGTTATAGATAGTTTAAAAATACATGAACCATCATATGCATGAGAGGTAGACCTTACCGCATTCATATTGTACATTTCAAAAACATTGACTTTGCTCTTATGGAGATCTAAATAACGCTACTAAGTGGTTGAAATGTAGAAATTAATGAAAGGGTGATGTTTTGTAACTGCGCAATCCGTGAGTAGGGATGACCATCATAAGACTTTTGTTGGCACAAGGCTTTTGTGTAGAGGCGAGAAGCAGTGGAAGACGAATCTTTCTCAGGAAAATCTTCAACATAAAAAAATTTAAACGAGTCAGAACTTCTGTAGTGCCACTCCACCACCTAACATTAAGACTCATAAGTAATCAGTTAAATTTCATTCGTTTATCAAGTTTAGACTCAGGATTGGAGCATATGAAGGTATGCCCCAAGACGGCTCTGCTTCTACTACTTCTTAGACATACCTACTAAAATATTTTCTGCCAATACAAAAATTGTGTTTGTAATAAGAAATGCTTCCCGTGAACCCATTGCATCGTTTGGGAGATCAAACTCACGGATTTACTAAAATTTAGTAAGGGCATTCTTTGTAAGACACTACATAAATAGATCTTTACTGATCACATCCTATAGGGTCAGGACTATATTGCACCAGGTTGAAATTTTTACAGAGTATCTGAAAGTGACTAAAGCTTCGGATGTGTCAAGGGAACGCCCGGTATCTCTCAATAATACCACTCTAGTTACATTTTTGTCATATCTCATGGCATCGATGGTGATCGGTGTGCTATAGGTAGCAATCATTAGCATTACTATATAGTCAGTATTTTTCTTAAAATTATTTTTTGAAATGGTACAAACACCAAATTTACCTGCCCAAAGGATAATATTTCCAATCAGTCGTTATGTAATGCCCAAATATGTAAATTAAAATACATAACATTACTATAGTGAAGAATTCAAAACAGTTTCTTATTCATCGTTTGATTTTTTCAGGATCATTTTTAGAGACCTCTCTTATGATGCTTATGGACAATTCAATGTACTTTTGAGAAGACTTGACGCGTTGATTTCATTTAACAGAGTAGAAAAGATTGAGGTAAGCTTTATGTTGTGTATGTGGATGTGATGATATTTAATGGAAAATTAGAAGAAGTGGCTAATTTTCGATATTTAGAAGTCAGATAGAGATAATAGTAGATACACAAAACAGAGGATAACACAGCGTCTAGACCTTTAACAAAAAGAAGTCACTTCTATGTTTACGAACGGTTCGTTTATAAATTCAAAAAAGATTGGTAAAGGCGTATGCCTGAAGCACGATGCTGTACGGATGCGAAACGTGGACGGTGGGCGCGGCGGAAAAGAAATGTGGTATTGTAAGCGAATGATGAGGACACCGTAGATAGAAAACGTCAGAAATGTGGAAGTATTAGAAAGAGTAGGAGAACAGAGAGCGCTAGGGAAGTCAATAATGAGTAGGCAATATAGGCTGGTAGGACACCCTATCAAGCATCGAAGGACAAGAAATATGTATAAGTAGCAGCTAAGAGGAAGAGATATAGACCTAAATTAGATTATTGTTCACAAATAGTTAACGATGTGGAATCTTCTGGTTTTAGGGAAATGTGAAGATTAGCTCAAGCTAGGAAAGGATCTAACTAGTTTTAGAACCGATTATCTTATGATGACGATGATGGTCTAAAAACCGTCGTCGGCTGGAGTTACTTATTAACATTTCGCTAGCACGTGTGGCGGATATCTTCAGAAGTCTTTCTGCCCGATGCCAGGCTCAAACAGGCGACGGACTTTAGACTCGAATCAGGACAGCATAGGTTGAAACCCCTATCTTTTCTTGCATCATCAAGATAGTGATCACTGAATACCTAAAGCCCCAAGGGGTGATTTAAAATCCAAAAGGGTAGCGCACGAGAGTGGAATAGACAAAAATTATTGCAGAGAGACGTCATTCAAAGTATAAAAAATTTCTTGCTCCTTCCACAACCGAGATCGAAAACATGTATTTATTCCCACCACCACCATCAGGCCGCCAGTCTAAGAAGATTGGCTGGACACGCACTTCCATCCTTTCTTTTCCTGAGCTAATCTTCGAATTTCCTAGAAACTACAACATCCCACATCCTTAACTATTTGTGAACAGTAATTACAGAAAAATTGACCTAATCTTCAAATAAGCTTGAAGGTCACAATTAAGGTCACATCTAAGGTCACCATGATATAAAAACAAAAGACGACACGTCATCGTTGCACTAAGTTTATTTGGTATGGACACTAATTATATACTATATACAAATAAAAATTAAAAAAGGCAAGTTCGCACACCACACACTGCTTCGATATACAAGCACACACAAAATACCCGATAGAAAATATACAATATGACAAATAAATCGACAAGCACACACACAATGAAAAATATACAATATAAATAACCCCGACAAGCACACACACAATGAAAAATATACAATATAAATAACCCCGACAAGCACACACACAATGAAAAATATACAATATAAATAACCCCGACAAGCACACACACAATGAAAAATATACAATATAAATAACCCCGACAAGCACACACACAATGAAAAATATACAATATAAATAACCCCGACAAGCACACACACAATGAAAAATATACAATATAAATAACCCCGACAAGCACACACACAATGAAAAATATACAATATAAATAACCCCGACAAGCACACACACAATGAAAAATATACAATATAAATAACCCCGACAAGCACACACACAATGAAAAATATACAATATAAATAACCCCGACAAGCACACACACAATGAAAAATATACAATATAAATAACCCCGACAAGCACACACACAATGAAAAATATACAATATAAATAACCCCGACAAGCACACACACAATGAAAAATATACAATATAAATAACCCCGACAAGCACACACACAATGAAAAATATACAATATAAATAACCCCGACAAGCACACACACAATGAAAAATATACAATATAAATAACCCCGACAAGCACACACACAATGAAAAATATACAATATAAATAACCCCGACAAGCACACACACAATGAAAAATATACAATATAAATAACCCCGACAAGCACACACACAATGAAAAATATACAATATAAATAACCCCGACAAGCACACACACAATGAAAAATATACAATATAAATAACCCCGACAAGCACACACACAATGAAAAATATACAATATAAATAACCCCGACAAGCACACACACAATGAAAAATATACAATATAAATAACCCCGACAAGCACACACACAATGAAAAATATACAATATAAATAACCCCGACAAGCACACACACAATGAAAAATATACAATATAAATAACCCCGACAAGCACACACACAATGAAAAATATACAATATAAATAACCCCGACAAGCACACACACAATGAAAAATATACAATATAAATAACCCCGACAAGCACACACACAATGAAAAATATACAATATAAATAACCCCGACAAGCACACACACAATGAAAAATATACAATATAAATAACCCCGACAAGCACACACACAATGAAAAATATACAATATAAATAACCCCGACAAGCACACACACAATGAAAAATATACAATATAAATAACCCCGACAAGCACACACACAATGAAAAATATACAATATAAATAACCCCGACAAGCACACACACAATGAAAAATATACAATATAAATAACCCCGACAAGCACACACACAATGAAAAATATACAATATAAATAACCCCGACAAGCACACACACAATGAAAAATATACAATATAAATAACCCCGACAAGCACACACACAATGAAAAATATACAATATAAATAACCCCGACAAGCACACACACAATGAAAAATATACAATATAAATAACCCCGACAAGCACACACACAATGAAAAATATACAATATAAATAACCCCGACAAGCACACACACAATGAAAAATATACAATATAAATAACCCCGACAAGCACACACACAATGAAAAATATACAATATAAATAACCCCGACAAGCACACACACAATGAAAAATATACAATATAAATAACCCCGACAAGCACACACACAATGAAAAATATACAATATAAATAACCCCGACAAGCACACACACAATGAAAAATATACAATATAAATAACCCCGACAAGCACACACACAATGAAAAATATACAATATAAATAACCCCGACAAGCACACACACAATGAAAAATATACAATATAAATAACCCCGACAAGCACACACACAATGAAAAATATACAATATAAATAACCCCGACAAGCACACACACAATGAAAAATATACAATATAAATAACCCCGACAAGCACACACACAATGAAAAATATACAATATAAATAACCCCGACAAGCACACACACAATGAAAAATATACAATATAAATAACCCCGACAAGCACACACACAATGAAAAATATACAATATAAATAACCCCGACAAGCACACACACAATGAAAAATATACAATATAAATAACCCCGACAAGCACACACACAATGAAAAATATACAATATAAATAACCCCGACAAGCACACACACAATGAAAAATATACAATATAAATAACCCCGACAAGCACACACACAATGAAAAATATACAATATAAATAACCCCGACAAGCACACACACAATGAAAAATATACAATATAAATAACCCCGACAAGCACACACACAATGAAAAATATACAATATAAATAACCCCGACAAGCACACACACAATGAAAAATATACAATATAAATAACCCCGACAAGCACACACACAATGAAAAATATACAATATAAATAACCCCGACAAGCACACACACAATGAAAAATATACAATATAAATAACCCCGACAAGCACACACACAATGAAAAATATACAATATAAATAACCCCGACAAGCACACACACAATGAAAAATATACAATATAAATAACCCCGACAAGCACACACACAATGAAAAATATACAATATAAATAACCCCGACAAGCACACACACAATGAAAAATATACAATATAAATAACCCCGACAAGCACACACACAATGAAAAATATACAATATAAATAACCCCGACAAGCACACACACAATGAAAAATATACAATATAAATAACCCCGACAAGCACACACACAATGAAAAATATACAATATAAATAACCCCGACAAGCACACACACAATGAAAAATATACAATATAAATAACCCCGACAAGCACACACACAATGAAAAATATACAATATAAATAACCCCGACAAGCACACACACAATGAAAAATATACAATATAAATAACCCCGACAAGCACACACACAATGAAAAATATACAATATAAATAACCCCGACAAGCACACACACAATGAAAAATATACAATATAAATAACCCCGACAAGCACACACACAATGAAAAATATACAATATAAATAACCCCGACAAGCACACACACAATGAAAAATATACAATATAAATAACCCCGACAAGCACACACACAATGAAAAATATACAATATAAATAACCCCGACAAGCACACACACAATGAAAAATATACAATATAAATAACCCCGACAAGCACACACACAATGAAAAATATACAATATAAATAACCCCGACAAGCACACACACAATGAAAAATATACAATATAAATAACCCCGACAAGCACACACACAATGAAAAATATACAATATAAATAACCCCGACAAGCACACACACAATGAAAAATATACAATATAAATAACCCCGACAAGCACACACACAATGAAAAATATACAATATAAATAACCCCGACAAGCACACACACAATGAAAAATATACAATATAAATAACCCCGACAAGCACACACACAATGAAAAATATACAATATAAATAACCCCGACAAGCACACACACAATGAAAAATATACAATATAAATAACCCCGACAAGCACACACACAATGAAAAATATACAATATAAATAACCCCGACAAGCACACACACAATGAAAAATATACAATATAAATAACCCCGACAAGCACACACACAATGAAAAATATACAATATAAATAACCCCGACAAGCACACACACAATGAAAAATATACAATATAAATAACCCCGACAAGCACACACACAATGAAAAATATACAATATAAATAACCCCGACAAGCACACACACAATGAAAAATATACAATATAAATAACCCCGACAAGCACACACACAATGAAAAATATACAATATAAATAACCCCGACAAGCACACACACAATGAAAAATATACAATATAAATAACCCCGACAAGCACACACACAATGAAAAATATACAATATAAATAACCCCGACAAGCACACACACAATGAAAAATATACAATATAAATAACCCCGACAAGCACACACACAATGAAAAATATACAATATAAATAACCCCGACAAGCACACACACAATGAAAAATATACAATATAAATAACCCCGACAAGCACACACACAATGAAAAATATACAATATAAATAACCCCGACAAGCACACACACAATGAAAAATATACAATATAAATAACCCCGACAAGCACACACACAATGAAAAATATACAATATAAATAACCCCGACAAGCACACACACAATGAAAAATATACAATATAAATAACCCCGACAAGCACACACACAATGAAAAATATACAATATAAATAACCCCGACAAGCACACACACAATGAAAAATATACAATATAAATAACCCCGACAAGCACACACACAATGAAAAATATACAATATAAATAACCCCGACAAGCACACACACAATGAAAAATATACAATATAAATAACCCCGACAAGCACACACACAATGAAAAATATACAATATAAATAACCCCGACAAGCACACACACAATGAAAAATATACAATATAAATAACCCCGACAAGCACACACACAATGAAAAATATACAATATAAATAACCCCGACAAGCACACACACAATGAAAAATATACAATATAAATAACCCCGACAAGCACACACACAATGAAAAATATACAATATAAATAACCCCGACAAGCACACACACAATGAAAAATATACAATATAAATAACCCCGACAAGCACACACACAATGAAAAATATACAATATAAATAACCCCGACAAGCACACACACAATGAAAAATATACAATATAAATAACCCCGACAAGCACACACACAATGAAAAATATACAATATAAATAACCCCGACAAGCACACACACAATGAAAAATATACAATATAAATAACCCCGACAAGCACACACACAATGAAAAATATACAATATAAATAACCCCGACAAGCACACACACAATGAAAAATATACAATATAAATAACCCCGACAAGCACACACACAATGAAAAATATACAATATAAATAACCCCGACAAGCACACACACAATGAAAAATATACAATATAAATAACCCCGACAAGCACACACACAATGAAAAATATACAATATAAATAACCCCGACAAGCACACACACAATGAAAAATATACAATATAAATAACCCCGACAAGCACACACACAATGAAAAATATACAATATAAATAACCCCGACAAGCACACACACAATGAAAAATATACAATATAAATAACCCCGACAAGCACACACACAATGAAAAATATACAATATAAATAACCCCGACAAGCACACACACAATGAAAAATATACAATATAAATAACCCCGACAAGCACACACACAATGAAAAATATACAATATAAATAACCCCGACAAGCACACACACAATGAAAAATATACAATATAAATAACCCCGACAANCTGTAAAAAAATTGTTGAAATATTTCAGCATAGCGCAGCATTCACAATATCGAATCTAGATTGGTGTCACATTAAATTAAAGTTTCTGAATAAGCTGGTTAATATAAGTCTTTAGATGTAGACCTTTGTTTTTGTTTATTTTGCGCTGCCGCGCCACTTCTTTTTCCTATGAGGGAGCACACAAATTTTATGAAGGATTGTAAGTGCAAATAATCTACCTCACAACCTCACTGATGAAGAACACGAATAACCCTGAACTTGATGATTTTAATATAGTGATGGTATTAATTGTTGTCTTTTTTCTTCTCTTAATTGTTGTCTTATTAATATGAGTTGTGTCAGCCCATATATAACACAATCTCCACCCTGATAGAGGAAGGGGTGAAGGTGCTAGCCAGCTAGTTTCTAATATTATTTAAATACTTGAAGATAAAGTAACTTGAAGATATTGTTACCTAAAAAAGGTCGATACCTTGAAATTACACCCAAACCACTTACATATAATATTTGTATAAACCAACAATATTTTGAATATTTAAATTTCCAAATTAACGTTTCAAGGAAACGGCAGGTAAATGTACCCTGAATCTGAACAAACATATAGACGCGTAATAACTATGAGATTAAATTTCAAATCAGGGCAACCTGTCTTAGCTCTGCTCCTCTTTACTTCTGTTCCTGCTTTTAATACGTCTGCAATTAACTATGTTATTATAAAATTACTGACATTAAATTTCCCTTTAACATGTGAGACGTGAAGACATATGTACAGGTATAACAAAATCAGCAGCAATTTAAATAAAAATAGAGCAATGCCTTCTATTTTACACGTTTTTTGATTTAAAAGCAATAGTAATCCATCATAAATCTTACTTCTGGGATTGTACACATAGCAACTTTAAAAGGAAAACAATGATTAGATAAAAATAAAAATGAAAACGTGAAAGTAAGACAAGACTCTACTTTCAAGCTTTCTGCATAGTAAGAAATAAAGCCTAAATACGTGAAATAAAAAAATACATTGTAGGTGAAACTGACGTGTATTATATGAAAATAATAATCGAACTTTATAGAACGTCTGACTGTCACAAAAACGCAAACCTTGACAACGCCATTATTAAATACTTTCATCTTTCTCTAGGTAAAAATCTAATATAAGAGTGGAACGGATGCTTTTTTTGGAGGATATTTACTTCTTGACCATGAAAATTATTTTGTTAGCAATTTATTCGTATCTTTATGAACTTAATGAAAGTTACATTTTAATAAAAAATGTTCCCATTATTTAAGCTTTCTACTAAACTGTGTTATCAGTACACAGTTTTATAATTAATGAAGGTTAATTGGAAAACATGGGCACAATTAGAGGCACAATAGCTAAAATTAATATCGCGCCTATACATACTTAATTCTACAAACGCTAGTTATGTATTATCTTGTATTACTAAATATCTGAAGTAAAGTACCTGAATTTCTCGCGTTACAGCAAAAAGTGTAAAAATCTATAATAAATACATTTCCTTAGATTTTTTCCGGGTACGCGATAATTTAAAACATCTGGGAAAAAATCTAAAAAAGTAATTGTTGAATAGAATTAAAAACATATGAATAACTTTCTCTAACTGTACCATACACATAACCTGAAATTTATTTTTTTTGTGACATTTAAAAAAAACGTCAAATACCTGTAAAAAAATTTTTTCCAAGTTGGCAATTTTTTCGTATGTGCACTAAAGTGTTATCTAAAAAATAAATTATCAGTCTCTTCAAGGGTAAATTTTCAAGGGCTGAAACTTAACATGCCTACATACATATGACAATAATTTCATTTACAATTAGGAAATCCAACTAATTTCTTGGTGAGATGACAGATTATTTTATAAAGTGCAAGTGTACAATACCCAAAAAAAATGTTAATATAAAATAAGTAACTGTACCTTTATAAGCATTGGTGATTTAGTCGAAATTGAGAAAACAGACTTATTTTCAAATTGTAGGTATGTGCACCGTAAGAGTGATCNAACGGTGAAACTTGTTGGACGGGTTGATAAGGGAAGTAGGTAGGTAAACATACCGGTCGACGAGTCTGGGTTTCGTGGAACAAATTTTGCATGTACTTTCCTACCAGGTACAACAACCAATTGATTTCCCTTCGGAAAGCATGCAGTTTCGTCTAAAACTCTTTCCGAAACAATGAAAAATTTCACATTTCCTCGTAATAATTTTTGTGTACTTCACCCCTTTTGTTTGCCTTTAGGAATTCAATAAATATACGAAGATCTAGTATAGTTTTATCAGTTCCAGATGATTTTAATTTCTTGCTATGAAATTCGTGTTGTGCTCAAGAGATGGTAGCATGTTATTTACGTAAATGATTATTTTTCAGACTATCGCATGACTTCGGACCTCAAGATTATTGAGTATAATGACAACTAGCAATATTATCTTTGTCTTAAATTCTAAACTAGCCTACTTTCGGCTGAAATATTTACACATGTATTTTTTGTAGCAACGTACAACTTCAGTGTTTTTAAGAGAGGTTTAAAATTATCTACTGATAATGTTGACAAGCAAAATGATATTTATCTCTCATGTCTCATTAATTAATTAGGTAGCACTTACTGTCTATTTCTATATGTTTAACATGTTTGTTTTGAGTAAATATTTATATATTTACCATTTAATTAGTTTTGGTATAAACAGCATGTGTCAGATACCGTCATCACTACATTATGTTTTCTTAATTAGGTGTACATTAATGGATACATTTTTGGAATCCCGATAAAAGTTAGTGGAAATCAACCTATTTTGGGGGATATCTTTAACATTGTCTCAGCCGAATCAAACGCCTTCTTGGATGTATTTATTAAACTGGTGGTCAATTTAGCTTTGTTATCGCTTTGAACGTCGCGCTATACATACCCGTTACTTCGTCACTATTTGTGACTCGTCAGGAAATGTTCTGTCCTTATTTGACTGTTTAATTTATTTACGTATTTAATTATAGATATAATAAAAAGGATACTGATTTAATAAATAACTAATTGGTTAAACATTAAACTGTAATTTATATCTTAGACTTAATTACTCTGGTGCATATAGCGTGCATGTTTTATAGATATTAAATTTTCAGTTTTAAATCTTTTGTTATGTTTTTTTAACTATGCCTTTTACTTATTTCCTGAGCCTTTTTATTCCAGAAACTTAAACATTTAAAAGCAAATTAGCTAGTTACCAGATTAGACGTCTTAATAGTCAATTAATTCCAGAAAAGACAAATAACAATTTGAATTACAAGTAGATCCTTAGAAATTAGAGCATCACTATATTGTGATCACTCTGTTACAAATTATGTAGGCTAGGAACTATCAGTATTATAATAGATCGAATGATTAATGAACGAATTAAAAGAAAATCACTGTTCTACTTTTACGACAATTTTAATGATTCGTTAATCAAATACATACCATCTAATAAAGCAATTTTGGAAGTAAACCTTCGGGTGTAAAGTTTACAATATTTTTATTCGTCATGTATATTTCAATATATCCACAACATTATTTATTTTATTACAATCCTTTTCTTCTTCTAATAATAATATTAAGTACACATATTGAGTGTAAAAGAATACAATTGTAAATAAATATCTGAAATGATTAGTACGATGTGGATTATGAAATTTCAAAACGCATCTCAATGGTACCATATGCAACTACTTCAAGACAGTTGTACGGTGATAAGATGGGGAGAGAGTCGATACAATGGTCAAATGCATTTGTTCTGAGGTATGAGGACCCAGTCAAGACACAAAGTTGCCAATCATTTTCCTCGGCAATGCGATGGTAAACCATTACTGACCGGAAATTACCTCGGTTCGGAGAACTTTCCAGATGTATCAAAATAACTAAGAAGAAGGTAAATAGCGTTAAAGGATTTTATTTCTTGAAATATTCCATTACCTAGTCATCAAATTCCACTAGACGCTAAGACGTTTCCAGTGTCAATATCTCATTAACAAATAAAGTTATTTGACGATTAACTAAAACGTTGATCGTACAGTCTAGAAGGGGAAACATTTTGCGTCGCTGTTTGTTTACAACTATTGTACAGTTTGCAGTACTTATTTGACTTGTTTATAAAATGCAGGGACAGTATACACACTGTACACTGACCGAACGTATGATTATTTTGACAGAAAATAATTTTTTATCAATTATCTTCCACTTTGGATAGACTGCATAGTGGCAAACACTCCAGAATATTAACGACTCAAGTAGACACTGCGCGAACAGGTCGCCATGATCGATCCAACCAAAAGACCTATTTTTTCATGTCATGATACAAACTAATGGTTTAAACACCTCTTGTTCTGTTGCCAGTGGCTACCTTCAATCTAACATACTTGAGATATTCGTTGACATTCAACAGGTATATTGAATTTTTCAGTATTTGCGGTATGATTTGGAGGTGTTCGTTGGTGTTTCGGCAAAAAAGCAATCAGGGACAAAAAAGTGTATACTAGGCCATGATTACAACTCACCAAATGTACCGAACGTATTTAGTTTAAATTAACAAGATGACAGAATAAATGAAACACAAATCTTATTACGATTTCAGCATTTGCTTCTAATTCATGTTTTGGAAAAATGTCAGGGGCTCTTTTGTCGCCCGTTGCTATAACATGAATTATATACAACGCCTTTAATAGATAGCGAGCACGTGTTCCAAGCTAGAGTGCATGGCATTGGCCTAGAGGTTTAGACCATTGTTTAACATTCGGAATGATACTGGTTCGATTTCGAGTCCGTTTGTCCTGGTTCAAGTTTTTCTGTGACTTCCTTAGATCACTTAGGCAAATGCTGAGGCAGTAATAATATTTCACAGATGAGCTTCCACTTCCCTTCCATTTTCATTTTGTACATCTCATCTTTCTTACTCCTACCGCCACCTACCCGTTTCCACGATTCCTAAAAGGAGGATGAAGAGGGCTTTCCAGCTGGTTGGAATGAAACACCCAAAAGCTTTTTTTTATTTCTTCCAGGTAAATACTACCAAGTCACCACACCAATATGGCCTTGGTGACCGTTCACTTAAAATAATGTGCGGATGCTTTAACTGTTTCATACCACTCGTTTCAAACGATGAGAGGGGTGCCCCTTCCCTTTACCTGCATGCGCCGTAACAAAATTCCAAATTGAAGTAAGTCTTATCTCATTCAAATTATTTCTGTCTTCTTTGTATTGAAACAGTTTTGATATCCGATATAGAGTTACTTAATATAAAAATGTATTGTAATATTAGCTTTAGTTAATTTAATTTTCGAAAATTTTAACTTTATAGTACAATTTTGCATTATCGGATTAGACTAGGTAATAGATTAGGTTGAAATTTTCCATCTTGTGCTTGCCTGTTTTTCTGGGAGTTTAATGCAACGTATGCTATTTACCCTCAATTCTTAGTTTTAAGTATGTATCAGACATTTGTTATTGTAATCGCATGTAAGCATCGTCTTCAAGCAATTGCATAAGGTGCTAAGGACCCAATTTAGGTATTTACTTCCCGATCTGTCCTCGTATATTATTATTTTTTCAACGCAAGAGATGATAATTATACATGGAATCACGTAACATTAATTTCTTCTTCACTGTCATTAACCGAACTATCATAGTCTATGTGATCGTACTGATGATGATAACTGTTATGATTGACAGTTCTGAATGTTTCCGGGTTAACTGATTTTGTTTTCCTTTCGGATGGCGAGCTCTGACGGTCGACCGGAGAAGGAACGGGACTGACGTCCAGAGATACGTCGCTGAGATCCAGCTTCGGTTTATCGTCACAGGCATCACTCAGATCGGGATGGGGATTGTTTTTCTTGGGGAGGGCTTGCTCGCGGGACCCGCCCGCTGCTAACAATTCGCGCTCTTTCGAGTTGCGCCACTTCATGCGCCGGTTTTGGAACCAAATTTTCACCTGAAAGAAATCAAAAATAAATACGTTTAAATAAATAGGGAAAACTTTTAGAGTACACTTAACTATAATACTATAGCAATTGTTTCGCCAAACTTTGCTTTTATATGGGTGAACCTACTGTGTAAGACTAAATTATTATAATAACGATCAGTGTTTAAATACCTACACAGTAGAATGTAATTACAGTAGCATCGGTGTTAACAGTATATCAAATACGTTATAACCAAGTTTAACTATAATTTATTATGGATTTTCATGAAATAATTGTCAAGTCAATCAACTGAATATGTACATGAGGTGAATTGCTTTTCTCTCAATATAGATTGAGATTACGTGTTTAAATTTAGGTAGAGGCGTACGTCGATGCTAAAAACGCCATAAAATATGATCTTGAAAATTATTTAATTCGAAAATATTAGAGAACAAGGATCATCTTAACGATTTCAACGGCCGTAACTACAGGGTTTGTCCGGAAAGTAACAGGACTGAGTCGATTTAAAAAAATTTATTGAGCCAATCGTTACAATTCTTTAAAAACTTTCAAAATAGGCTCCTTCTGCGTCGATGCAGCGCTGCCAGCGCGATTTCCAAGCATTGAAGGCGTCACGGAAGGCATTCTCCGGAATAGCCTTAACAGCCCCGGTGCATGCTGCTTGGATCCCCTCTATCGTCTCAAAATGATTGCCTTTCATCGGCCTTTTCAGGCGAGCAAACAAAAAAAAGTCCAGGGGGGTCACATCTGGGCTGTAGGGCGGCTGCGGAAGCGTTAGGATGCCGGCCTTGGTCAGGTAGCTGTCCACAAGAAAGGCGGTGTGAGCCAGGGCGTTGTCGTGGTGTAATGTCTTGTCGGACCCGACTGACCCTTCGTTTGAGTCTCTTGAGCACTTCCACGTAAAACTTGGCGTTGACGGTTTGTCCAGGAGGAACAAATTCATGGTGGACGATGCCTTTCATGTCAAAAAAAACAATGAGCATCGTTTTCACTTTGGATTTGCTCATTCTTCCCTTTTTTGGGCGAGGAGACGCCGGCGTGTGCCACTCGGAAGATTGCCTCTTTGTCTCGGGATCATACTCAAAGATCCATGACTCGTCA